AAAGAAAAGCAATGACAATAATATAGGAGACATATAATATGAATATTAAGAAATGTTGTTCTAGATCATGAGGTAAGTATAATTTGATATAAATTTTTTTAAAAAAACCATAAAATTATTTTTTAAAATGTCAAACAATGATATCATAAAAAAAATAAAACAAAAAAGTATGCCAACCCCTGTTCTAATGCAATCCCTCCGTTTCTTAGTAATATATCTTGTTAACAAAAATATATAGATTTACAAGCTACGTTACTTACTTGATGAAAACTAAAAGCCACTAGAATAAATATAAAAAGTATTTTGAATAAATTGAAATAAGAATAAAAATAAATATTTTTTATTTTAAACCATTTCATCTTGTTAATGCGCTCCCGCTCCTTTTATTGATTTTTTTTACTAGAATAATTATTTTCAAATAACATTTTATTAAAATTATAAAAGCAATATCAGAAAAAATTTGATATCAGGGTGTTAGAAGGAAAAATAGTAATATAATGCTCACACATTGAGATAGGGAACTCTTTGAAATCAATTTTTGTAATTAGTTATATCATAAAAAAAAAATACATTCACAGTAATGACAACAAATAAAAATACGGTGAAAAAATATATTTTTTCTAGAAACATTCTTTTCTAATCAAAGTAGTTTTAAAAATTTTAAACAATTTTTTTTTTATAATAAGCATAGTTCATTGAATAAAATACAACAACAATCTAGAAACAAAAATATAAAATAACTAAAATGATTTGAATTTCATTTTCATAAAATGTTTATGATCATAAATATAAAAGAGAGAGAGAGACAGAGACTACATGGTAAGTTCACATGTAAAAATTAATGAGATTATTGCTGATATTATAAAAAAACTAGAATATTTTTTGAAAATAAATATTAAATTGAATGATATCTAATAAAATAATATCTTAAATATGGTTTTATTTATTAAATTATAATTAATTTTTATTGAATTTAAGGAAAAAAAAAAAGAAAACAAACATAAAGGGATGCACAAAAATAGCCTTCGGTAATATTATAAAGAAAGTCAGAATATTATTTGAAATCAAATCTAAAATCCAATGTTATTTAATGTAATGATATCCAAAATATAACTTTATTTATTTTATTTTAATAAATCTTAATTCAGATTTAACAAAAAAATATAAAAAACAAATGTTCTCGCAAAAGGGATTTAGACGACTGGGCTTGAGTGGGTTAACTTTTAGCTTAAAACATAGAAAGCAGGAACAGGCCTGCGTGGCTGATCTTTTTTTTTTTTTTGGTTAAATCAGATAGATAACATGTGTTATATACTTGTTCAATTTTTTTTTTTATTTTTTTTTATTTACGTGGGGTGTTCGGGCCAGCTTACGCGCACCACGACTAATCCCCACGGCCCACTGAACATCCTGCAAGCCCAGTGAGTAGGTAAGACACCGCGGGGATGACAGACGTGCATGGTGAGGTTCGAACCCAGGTGCGGAGGAAGGAGACAAACTCCTCCCACCGCTAGGCCAGAACCAATTTTGATTCATGGAGAGATGGTTAAAAACTTGAGCTTCATGATTTTTGGATTTAAAAACCCAGCAGTGAACACCCTTATAATACTAGCAAACCATTTTAAAATTTTATAAATCAATTAAAAAAGCATAAAATTAAACTAGATTTTTTTTTATTAACCCTTATCTAGTTTTTTTTGGCAATATGGAAGCTTAAAACACATCAATGGTATTCATTTCATAAAAACAAACATATCAACACTAAATTCAACCTTTTCATTCTTGAAATTTATCCAATTAATTATTTTCTCTTTCTTTCATCATTTTCTAAAGACTTTCTCTTTAAAAAAAAAATCAAGGACTAAAATACAGAATAAATGAAGTCATGGATATACATGCTAAAATTATAATAAACATGGATAAAAAATATAAAAACACTTTAGGAGCCAGAATTTTTAAAATGCATCCCGTGAACATTGAAAAGGTAAAGAAAAAAGGCTTTTTATTTTTTATTTTTTTAGCAACAAATTTAAATTTTATTTTTTCAAATCAAATATTAACCTAATGACAAAATATTTTTTTAATATCCAAGAACCTTGTAGCAAGCTAATTAAAATAAATTATCAAATCTAAATTCTAGTCAACTAAATATAAAATAATAAAATTAAAAAAATTAATGAATAAAATAGAAAATATTTAAAGAACCAAGAAAGAAAAAATAATTATTCTCCGAATTCATGATACATAGATTGCAAAATTAATGAGATGATGGGTGCAAACTGCAAACAACAAGTACCATAAAGAAATTATTTATTAGATTGTTTAGTAGTAAAATCTTGAGATTCAAGTGGTTTTTTTTCTTGTGCTTCTAAGTTTGAGTCCTGTAATTATTAATATAATTATCATTAAAACATTACATCATTTTTAATATAAAAATTTATAAAATTAATTAAGCAACATATAAACTAATTCAAATAATTAAGTTTATAATAATAATAAAAAATTTACCAATCATGAACGCCCGATGCAGAATCACATCCCATTTTGAGAAGAAGAAGAAGAAAAGAGTGACTATCCATCCACAACCAATCAATAACTATAATACTCCTCGGAGAAATCACATCCCATTTTGAGAACACAAGTTGCGCGATTATTTCGTTGTATCATATGATTTTTCACTTGAGTGAAAAACAATACAAGTTGAAAATGAGATAATACAACTTAATTAAGAGCTAGTCACGAGCAACAAAACATGACTACTCCGTTGAAAATTATTGCTATTAATGGGTTATAGTTTATATTTTTTATTAAAAAATATATTAAAATATTTTTTAATTTTTTTAAATTTGCTTCTAATATTAGCACGAAAACAATTTAAAAAAATTAAAAAATTAAAAATTTTCAAACCTCCATTTACACCCTCACTCTAAAACGGGATAAAAATTTGCATTTTAATTTCCACCCATTTGCAATGCATTACGGCTCTGTTATTCACAAGTAACCCATTTGGATTCTCTCGTGTTTCTAAAGAACATAACCGTTATATGCCCTCAGTTTGTATGCGGGCCAGCAGGTGCTAGCACATTTTTCCAGCCCATGTGCGTTTACTATTCAATTTTTATTTATCTCATTATTTTTTTCTTTCGCATTTTATGATTGGGTTCTCTTTATATAAATTTATTTTAAATGATGTTTAAATAACTATCTAATTTTTATTGATTTTTTTATTTTTTTAATCTTATCCTTCAATATTTGATTGATTTAAAATTATATTTTATAATTTTTATATTTTTATTTTGTTTTATATAAAATTATTTTAGTCTTATTATCTAGATTTTAAATTTAATAAATTAACCTTAATTGTCTCAAGTTATATATATATATATATATCCTTCAGTATTGGATTTGCTTATTTTGGATGGTGGGCTAACTTAAGTTTTTTTAATTGAATGTTTTTGTCAATTTCATTATGAAGCCTTTGATTGGTTAGAAATTAGATTTTGTTTCCATGAGATTGTCATGATCTTATTACCTAGATCATGAATTTAATATGTTAATATAAGTTAACTTGAGTTTTTTATATTTTTCTAATTGATTCTTTTTTTAATTTTATTTTTCAATATTTAATTGATTGAAAAAAAAATGATGACAATAACACGAGGAAAAAACCTTTATCTAAGAGCGAAAAGATAATGTTGTTTAATTTTTAGCTAGACAAGGAATGATGAGATAGGGTAAAAAAAATTGATATGAGCCAACTTTAGCCAACATGGTGGACATATAATTTGAACATTAAGGGGCGAGCTTATACGGATTAATTTAATAAACTTATATTCCAGGTCATGAGGTCAGGATAGTTCAATAAAAAATTTTTTTTAAAAAAAGCACAAAGTCATTATTTTTAAATGTCAAACGTAAATAAGAAAAAAAAAATATCAATCCTATTAATTTTTTAAACTTGTGATCCAGGTCTATCATACCAGAAGCATTACACATGAAAAGATTATAAAACTGAATTCTTAGAAATTGAAACGTTGAAGGATGAAATACAAAAATTATACAAAAAAATTCAAAATAAAAAATAACAATTAAAAAAATAAGGGTTAAAATCAAATAAAAAATAAATTAAAGGGCAACAACAAATTTACAATTTAACTCTCAAATTGAAAAAAATAAAAACATTAAAAAAAGGATTAAAATAAAAAAAATACACCATTAACTCAGATTAAAAAATAAAATTAAAAACAATAATTATTTTTACAAAATGATCAAGAAAAAAGATAATATACAGGAAAATCGCCACTTTTTTTAGTCTATACTATAATGTCATGGTAAACCCCATTTAGATTCTCTATATTTCTAAAAATAAATAAATAACTGTTATATTTGAAATCTTAATTAAATTCTGAACTTTTATCCATTTTATTAAAAGAAACCTGTTCGGTTTTAATTTAATGATTTGGATTAGGTGTGATAATACAATATAAAAAAAAAAATTAAAGCAGCTCAATTGGGCCTTTAAACTATGTCAGGTTGAATCTCCCAGCCTGACCAAGCTACTTTGAGCCAATTTGCAATAGCCTATAAGGATAGCTAGACTCATCTATTTACTATTTCAATAAATAGTTTTATTTCGTCATCTTCAATGAATAAAATATTTCAGGCTATTCCATGAAACGCAACAGTGAATATTATTTCAGGCGTATTCTTGAACAATACTATTTTAGGCTTATCCTTGAATAGTAATGTTATCTCAAGCTTATCTGTAAAACTCATCTACAAATAATATTTTTCAGCTTCATCTATAAATAGTATATATCAAAAGCCTCACCTCACTTTCTCTCCCCTCTCCCTCCTCTTATTTTTCAAGCTACCACCACATCTAGCTCTACAAGTTATGGCTTTAACAAGAGTTACTACAATGGAAAATTTCACCTTTCATGATGAGTTGCTCCAAACCTTTTCTAGATATTTTTCAAGGTAAATTATATATTCTCAAGTTGAAGAAGAGAGAGAAAGAATGGTTTTATCTCAACAACACTAGAAGACACTCTACTAATCTATCTACATATAAAAAATACAACTCTCATCTTTTTGATTTTTATGCTTGTCACTTGAGCATAAGAAACTCGAATACTAACTTAAACCGAAGTATCTATAGAGATTTGTTTTGCAAGCATAATTCAGACTGGAACTCAGCAAGGGGAAATCCATTTATGTCTTGAGCTGGACATGTATGCTTGGTCGAAGGCAGAGAATTTGTAAGTTCTGCTTGCTTGGAGTCTTGGTAATTGGCAAGCCAAGAAGCTCAAAACCTGTGTCTTTTGGCCAGTCCTTAATGACATCTTACCGTAAGTGAAAAATGCTAAAACGGCAAACAAACTGTAACGAAATAAAATAAACTATAAGAAGATGATGTAACCATGTATATTTTACTTTATGGGAGAGACAACAGCCTAACAGGTCACCTTTGATCTGCTTTGATCTAGTGCAAGCAAAAGAACAAAATGATCTACACTGGGAACTAACGATAACAGTGCATCCAAAAGAAGAAGGGCACTTTGTAACATGCCAAAATGGATAGAACAAGGACCATTTACCATTCATATAGGATGAAGAGCTCAAAGGTATAACAACACGCAAGAATGGTAACTTCATGTTAAATTTAATTCTGTCAAGAATGAGAGGTACAACATTAACTACAACTCAAATAAAGTATATCAATTGTTCTGTACAGAAACACAATGAATGAGTTAGAGATATCATAACCAAACTGATATTCATATATCTAAAGCTTACAGTTAAATTTTGAAATGTACAGCTTACTGTTAAAAACATGCAGATTTTACACATCACTGGAACCATGAGGGAGCTTTTGTCTCAGAAAACAACTTGATGTCAGTTTGCAATGCCTTTAGCCATGAATCAACCTGAGGCAGGAGGAGGGAAGGGCATGAAAATCAAATCACAACTTAATGATAATTATAAAAATTAAAAAAGAAAGAAGCTCTCTTAAAATTTAAAAGTTGGGCATTAGAGTGGAAAGAGATGGTTTCAGACACGAACTAAAGATAATCCCAACAAAACAACTTCAACAAGTTCTCACAAACAATCATCCAAATGTTGTTCATTTGAAGCTGTGGACTATTTGAGGTCATTTGATGCTCTGGAAATATCAAAGCACCTTCAGGTGCACACTTTTTAAATGACAACTACGGGCATATGATTGACACACAACGCACAGTAACAACAACAAACAGAAGCAGGCCACTCAACTGCAGGCCATTCATATTCTGTACTGCCTCCCTAAAATTGTTTAGTACTCAATCATCAAACAAGTAAGACATGACATGACATCAAATAAAATGCCATCATGGTGGTATCAATAGAAGGTTCGTACGCAGACAAAGATTCAAGTTTGCTGCAATCACCCCCCATCAATCAAACAGAGGGCAATACCAAAATATTGCACAAAAAGTTGTAGGTCAAGCAACAACTTGTACCATTTGCGCCCCCCCCCCCCCACACACACACAGGTGATTGTGTGCATTATGCACCCACATTTGCGTATGCTTGTAAAATTATAGATTTAAATTAAGTAGAAACTAGAATACATTGGCAACTATCGACCACATTGAATACTGTAAAGTGTATGAAAAATACTGGAAGTACCTGTACTTCGGAAACACTTGAGCACTCATATCTCAGACCTTGACGAGTTAAGATATATGCGGAATACCATGTCTCATCAGGCTCCCGTGTAAAGCTTGGCAGAGAACCTACTTCAACAATATCGGCAAGTAGAGTGGAATCTTGAGGACTGAAATCTGCACAAGTGTCTTTCAATCAGCAAAGAAATTTGAATGTGGATTTGAGTAACAATATCAGATTGCAAACATAAATGAGATTTGAAATTCAAATAAATAAAAAGTAGCAGTGGCAGTGGCATCACCAACACAAGTGGAGCAGGTAAAATCTGGGAACTTCAAAATTTCTATAGAGCATACTATTCCTGGACGAAGGATGTCTCCTGTGCTCATTTATCATTCATTTATTGGCACAAAAAGAAAACACAACTGGATAGATAATTAGATCATGCATCAAGGCCATAGGGAGTGCAAGGGTGGGGATGGGTATTCTTCTGATAGCTGTCCTTCTTGATCATAATTGCAGATTTTGAGACATGAATCATCACAGGCACTCTACAAAACCACATATGGCTAAAAGCATGGTTGCACTACAAATGAAACAAGGGAGATAAGTAAAACATCTGTTACCTGTGGACAACAAATAGAAGAAGATGCATGGTCCATTAAGGACAACAAAGCGAGGAAGCCAATCATCCACATCAGTATCATCAAGTGGTGGCGGCTCCCCAGGTAGAGCTGTCCATCTCTGTAAAGGAGGGAGAACAGGAGGAAAAAACTGTTACTGCTAGGTGCACAAAAGATTGCAGTAAGAACTGAAAAGAAATTAACAAAAGCAATTTGGAGAAATCCACTACAGTTCGGATGTACAAATAACCAGAGAACCGAGCAGAGCGCAGAACTTCATCAACATGTTCCAACCTGCACAGACAAAAGAAGTTACTGTTGTTAAACAAAAGTCAGTTTTGCTTTAACCTAAAGCACAGTCAAAACTTATCAAAAATTAGAAACTAAGCATGCTGACTTTCATGTTTCTTTACATTGAGATAATAAAGAGTGGAATTATAAAACATGGTTCAGCACTTGACAGTATATAATAAAGTAGAGCAATAAAACATGCAAAACATGCAGTCCATCATGAGAGGAGCATGCGTACAAGTTCTTTTTATTGTCAAATCTTGAAACTGAAATTCTCAAACAAGGTGGAAGATTGAGGACAATATCTCGGACAATATTTAGCTTAAAACTAAATTTTAATTAGCGCTGAACCAGACTTTATCACTTGTGTGGGTTTAATTATGCTGGTCACTGCCAATTATACAAGTAAAGATTTGTTATTTGCTAGTAAAATATCCCATTAGTTTTAAATTCCAGGATCAAGTTTCCTTACTGAGCTTTCAAGTAAGCTTCCCTCTCTTCTAAATATGCAAGTTCTGATCGAAGTGATTCTAACTCTCTGACAGGTAACTCAACCTACAAATAAAAATGCAATGTGGTGATTAGGACCATATAAACCTCACAATAATCGACAAGCATGCTAGAAAGGATTGTTCCATAAACCTTTTTCTGATCATCGGTGCTAGAACCCCATGACAGCCTCTGTAGGTTAAACAAATTCAGCATGAATGCAGCACTTCTTAGTTTTCTTCCAGACCAGAAATGACTGTTTGAGCTATTCTAAATCAGAAAAAGAAACAAAATCAATACAAATTTCACCAGTCGTTCCCTTCTCCGTTTCCTTTTCTTCAAGGAAAAAGTAAGTACCTGGATGAATTATCAATTCTGGGCTGTTGGATAGATGAAGTTATGTTTTGAGGAGTGTCCTCACTGGAAGTTGATACTTGAAAGTGATCAGGGACTATATTCAACCTCCCACGACTATCATCCATGAGGCTATATGTTCACTTGAAGAAGATGGTACAAGCCCTAAAGCATGAAAAAACAGATCAAAATGAGAGATAATCCCACTTGAACAGACAATAAATTATAAAAAAATTCAGCACATAAAAACCAATCCCTCCAATCATTGCACAACTGAATACGCTTTAAAAGCTTAGACTATATATTGCCAAGGGGTAGTACATAAATTCTCACACAGGAAACTAAAAAACCACCAAAAAACTCGAAGGACAGACAAGTTTTATGACCAACGACTAAATTTTCAGCAAATCTAAAAATTAAATGAAGCATTCTTGCAATGGATGCATTCCAATGGAAATTTATAAAATAAATGCTATCCAAACAAACTAAACACAAAAATAGGCAATCCCATAAATTCTTCTCCATTAAACGCTTAGAAAGAAGCCTAATTAACATCAGATCAGCAATAAAAAAAAAGCTGTTGGGATTTTTCAGATAGCACAAAGCTCCACTGAGATCACAACAATTTCTACAATAAAATCAACAACTACCTCACACCATCAGATCAAAATGAAAAAAGCAACCAGCCCACCACCCATCATGTCAAACTCAAAGAATCTAATCAAATCTCATACAAAAAATTCTTTTGAAACAAAAACAGAACTTAGTTACACAACCATATAAAAAGGAAAGGAATTTCTTGATTGTCAAACAGATAAGATGATAATTTAAGTATAGATGATTAAAGACAAAGTGGCGTACTTTACTCACCGTATGTATGTCAATGTCTATTGTAGAAACTATAAAGAGACTTTTTTTGGTTTCTCTTTATTGTAGAGAGAGAAAGATTAGTGGAAGTTGTTGTTTTGTATTGTGCTTCTTCTTCCTTGAGTTCACGGAAAGTGGTTTGACCCCCCATCAAAGTATATATGCAACATCATGACTGGCGGGTATAGTAGTTTTCTAGTTGGGTGAACTTCATTTTTGTCCTTGTAATCTACCAAAATTCTACTTCAATCTCTATAGTTTGAAATTTATCAATACCAACCTTTTATGTTCCAGAAAGTTTCGATATTACCATTAAAAAGCCCCTTTTTATGAGGTTCTGGAGGTTTTTATTTTTTCAAGGGGTTTGAGAGAGAGAAAAAAATAAACAAAAATATGAACAGAAGTGAGCTTTTCTTAATAGTTGTTTGGTACTAAACGGGCAAGTTTGAAACTTCTTAAAAATTATAAGGGTGATATTGATAAATTTCAAAAAGTAGGAATAGAAGTTTAATATTGATGAATATAAGGACAAAAACATATGTGATAAACTATAAGGGTGGTATTATTTGATTGTTTTGATGTATTGTTATAAAAAATAAATTTAAAAAAAATAAAAAAAATATTATTTTAATATATTTATAAATATAAAATATTTTAAAAATTAATAATTTCTACAACACCAAATACTATTTTTATGCTAGGTATTATTGTCCATGGCCCAGGAATGTGGAAGGTTCGTGTGTCCTTCCCTCTTCTTGATTTTTTTTTTTTCCTTGAAAAGGAAATAACCTTCTATTTTCTGTACTTGTTACGCAAGCATTTAAGATCCAATGACCCTATGGATAAACATGATTTAAACAGCTGCGATAGAATAATATTATATGAAGGTTTCATATTTAGTTTGCTACTCTCTCTCTCTCTATTTTTTTCACACGGCAAAAAGTAGAGAGAACAAACTGTTCAGTTTGCTATGAGAATTTTGTGCACGAACATAAGTCTAAGATTTAAAATATTAAAAAACCTAATGCAGAAGGCGAAACAACTGTGCATAGTATAATAATAAAAGATTTAACATATATATATATATAATAAGTTTTGAATTCGATATGTATTTTTTATAAAAATTTAAAATAATTAAGATTTTATTTATTTATTTGAGTCCATAAAATATACTTTTCAAGAATAGATTTTCTCCTATCTTAAAAAAGCTAATTCTGTAAATAGATTATTGTATATTATCATAATAAAATTATTATTTTTAAATATATTAAATTTAATCCTTTAGGGATTTTTTGTTTTTTCTCTAGCTTAGTGATCAATAATTTTTTTTAAGAGTGTATATTTCTTTTTAAATTTTTTAATACAATAAAAATATTTTTTACTCTTATAATCAATAAATTTAGAATTGTTTATCAATGATTTTCTTAACTTTTCACCATCTCCCTGATAGTAAAAATATTTCTTCACTCTCGAGACCAAAAAAGTTGGTTACGGGATAAGAGTGTTTCAGGTTTTTTTATTTTTTATTTATAATAAAATAATATTTTTTACTCTAGAAAAGACAAAAAAAAAAAAGAACTTTATATTTGGGGATACTTTGACATTTTTTGCATGGATATTTTGTATAATTAAAAGGATAATGAGGGGTGTTTTTGTATTTTTCACATTTTATTCCACACGCACCAATTAGTGAGTGGAGTCTGTGTCATTCAGATGGCGCATGTAACGTATTTAGGTTGTCAAATCTAGCCATTTGTCGTCCTCCTGAATGTACAGTTGTGTCCTCTTTCACATGGTGTAACGCGTGTAGGTTTATAATAGTTGGATTACCACCGGTAATTAATTTTTTCTTTCTTTTCTCTTTCCTAACATCTAAAGTGCATAATTGCTTTTTTATTTGTTATTTTTCAATTTCAGTCCTCATTTTTTAAATTTCTTATTTCATCCTTATTCATTTTATAGAAGTTTTGTTTTTCATTTCAATCTTTATTTTTTTATTTTTTTTAATTTTGTTTTTATTCATTTTCTAGTTTTAGTCCTCCTATATCCATTCCTCTTTTTTTTTTTTGGTTTTTCAGAATTCATCCTCTTTGTTTTGATATTTGATTTTGGTTTTTTCTTTTTTGTTTGAGTTTTATTTGTTTATAATTTAGTTTTTCAATTCTAATTTGTGTATATTATGTTTTTCAATTTAATCCTTTTACTTTTGATTTTCTATTTTTTTCCTTTAACTCTTTTCTCAAAAATTTTACAAGTTTTAATTTTACCATTCAAATCAAATTTATGATTTTTTTTCAACAACAATAATATTTATTTTAGTTTGGTCCTTTTTTGTTGGATTTTCTATTTATTTCATTTTTTTCAAAGTTTTTATAATTTTTTATTTTATCATTCAAAACAAGTTTATAATTTTTTTTAATAATAATAGTGTTAGTGATAATAGTAATCATTTATTATAATAATTGTGGTGGTTATAATATCAATAATCATAGTGATAATGTGATATTAGTAATAATGATGATATATTAATAGTTAAAAGTTGTTATTATTATTATGATAATAGCAGCAACAACATTAACAACAACAACAATAATTATAGTTATCATAGTAATAATAATAATGATAAAAAAGATTAATAATAATATTAGTTATAATGATGGTGATAATAATTATAACAATAATATAAATAGTAATAATAATAGTGATGATAACAACAACAATAATAATGATAATGATAATGATCATGATAATAATATTAATAATAATTATAATTTTTTATTAATAATACCAGTAATGGTAGTAACTATAATGATAGTGACAATATTAATAATGATAATAATAATGATAAGAATAGTAATTATTATTATAATAATCATAATGATAATTCATCATTTAATATAATCATTCCATGTATGATATTCGACATTCTTTTTTATTTTTTTAAAATTTTATTTTTTAATATTAATTTTTAAAAATAAAAGAAGATCATCCAGATTTTTTTTTAAACCTATTAAATAAACTAATTTATGTTAAGTTAGCTCTTAAAATTTTATTATTTTACTTGAGTTTATAGTATTACAAAAAAATCTTTACACTCTTAATATTTTTTTTATATTTTTAAAAATATAATTTTGCCATGGTTGGACACGTGCAAATGAATTAGAATATTTATTATAATAGTAGTGTAATGATAATTTAAAACTTTTGAGCTGAGGTAAAGTAGTCTTTTCAAAATGATCTAATTATTTTTTTAAAATTGGATTAGATTAATCATTTTATTTTTTTCAACGTAAAATTACTAATTTATCCATAGAATAAAAAAATATATTACCTTTGCGGGGGTGTTTTGGACATTTCACCATAATAGTTAAATTACTTTAATGCCCTTAAAGCATCCTTTCCTCAGAAGTTGCTTTACTATTCCTCCTCTTAGTTCCAATGACATTGCTAATGCAGCAATTCTATCTGCTGGAACAAGGGAAGAATTACAGCAGAAATGTGATCAGAGATATCATGGAGCTATGCATCGTGACTTTGATACGACTAGACGGGATGTTTCAAGTTCTTCTTTTAAATGCAACTGCTAGGTTGACAAGCATGATCATTGGTTCAGGCAGGAAATTTGTGGAGCGGCCATGGCCACTTCCTTTGAAGGCTGGAGTACAAGGAAGCACAGAATCTGGTAGCATGTTTCTCAGACCAACCCAACAATTTCGAAGTTTTAGGCTGAATGAAAGATGAAATAAGAGAGGCTATTGCTATTCAAGACTTCAAGACAAACGGGGTAAGTTGTGGAAGACATAAATTTAATAGCAGTTATTTTAGAACATGACTTGTTCTGAATGGAAAAATGAATATTTTACGTTCTTTTTAACCTGCAACAACATCCTGTTCTCTTATTTGTGATTTAAGAAAGTCCTGCAATGCTTTGAACAAAATTGATTTGATGTTTCATTCATAGAACAATAACTTCACGCGTGGAAAGAAATTTGATGATTTTAAAAGAATTATTGCCGAAGGAAAGAATGATACAGTCTAACGAGGAACTTCTAAGATTATGGATCAGTTGCCATAGAAAAATAAAAAAGAGATTACAAATTGATCGAGCTCAAAAATAGAGGATTTTTCTGTCCATGACTAATCATCCTTACAAAGTGAAGATCAATAGATACAGCATACGGGTTTAGAAACTGCAGTTCCTTGACAACCATGAACATGACGCAGGCCACCCATCCTCCATACCAGTGGACGCTCCCCAACAAGGGTCACTGAGAAAATAATTGGAGCACAAGAATGTGTGCATTTCAATCCTCGTTACGCAGAAAATTGCTTCTGCGTGATAATTGGGCTGCGACAATGTCGAAATCTTTAAACTATAAAACTGGGTCGGTGGATCAAAACCAGGGAAGCATGCTTCACGGCGCGGAAACAGAAAGCATGGCAGGGCGGCAAGCAAACATAGAAATAAAGTGAAAGAAGAGCAACATGTGTCATTTCCATAATAAAATGAACGAACTGTGAAAAATAACAATATTCTCAATGTGGACTTTCAGGAGAAAGACACACCTGGCTTAAATTTAATAACCAGACTCAACTGACACAGACATTACTCTCTTATTTGCCACATAAGATTTATCTGAAAAAAGTAAGTCAACACACTTGGTGCCGTCCGATTCTAATTCTGCAGTACCACTAAGAGAATGATTATCACTGGATTTGTTAGAATTGATGAGTGACGTAGCTGCTTAGCACGATAGGTTCTCGATAGTAGAGACCTCGTCAGCAGAGAACCTTTACAAGCACCCATCTCTACTGCGTGGGAGGTTGTACTTGGTTCCTCTGGGACTTCCAAACTACTCGCAGGAATTGGTTCATCTTCCTAAAAAACTATAGCAAAAGGAACTTCCACTTCCTGCATGGAAATTGGTATCACTGATTTCACCCGAGAACTTCGAACTGCCCCTAGTGAGTCATGCCCATAAGAAATTGGGACAGCCTTCCTTGAGTTATCCTGGTTAGGAAGTGAAAAGGTTTTTGCCCTTTTCTCTTGATTTGAGAGTGGAACAAACTCCAGGTTCTCCACACCACACAACGGTGCCTTTTCTTTGTTAACCAGAAAGGAAAGGAGTGTAGCCCGCATTTCTTGTAAAAGAACATCGCCTTCTACAGGTTATTCATCTTTAGATGATAAAAAAGTTGGAGCACTATCTAAGCAATACCCAGAACTGCAAGTCACCATGAAAAGCATTAAGAAACATGGAAAATTCCAAAATGGAAGTTTCTCAAGTGCTAAATTACCTAAGGTATCATCTGTGAGCCCTTGGATGCATAAAGAATACTAACCTAAATACAAGCAGAAACATAGTGAAATATCATATATTATCATTATCCGGAACTAATCACGAATTATATACCATTCTGGACATGTGGATTACCTTGAAAACAGAATCATTTATGGCACTAGCAAAGGAAGCATGAGAACCATTGTTAGAGATCTTCAATCCGGCTTTTATGAAACTACGGGAAAAAAATGAGATGAACTATTTAAGTTAACAGTTCAAAAAGAAAAGTGACATTGGACTCTCGAAATTCAATGGTGAATCTGAGAACTCTGCATAGTGAGAGGGAGAGGGGTATGAAGAATGTGATGGAGACTTGTCAAGCTTGGTGGCTGAGATTGTTGACAGAGAAGATTATATCGAGACCTCTGCTTCAGAGAATCGCCGGAGAGCTACACCGATGTTTCTAAGAGAGTTAATGTAAGAAACATGAGCTGCTGCAAGATGGTACCTCGAATCGATTGCTTGCTTTATGAATTGCCTCTGTTCCTGGCGTAGAGCTAAAGGTTCAGTTTTGTCTACTTCGGAGCTCTCAGAACCCATTTTTGAGTCAAAATATTAAGACAAGGTTCATAAAATTAACTCCATTTCTCAAGCCTGTCAACATAAAATTCTTCAAATGAGGCAATGGCTTCCACAAAAACCAAACTTTGCACTGGAAATTTAACAGTACCTAAAAAACCCCACTTGGAGAAATCCAAGAAGGTAAGGAAATGAAAGAAACAAAGAGAATATGAAAAAGCCAAAACCTTACACCTCAAAACCACACACCTTGGTCAAGAAACAGAACAGACTTTTCCAAGCCACAAGAACATAAAAGGGTTTTTTCTCCACAGTTATTTCCCTCATTCGCTCAAAACCACACTTATTTCCAGAGCGATCACTTGACCGATTTCCCTCTCTATATTTTTCTTCCAAACATCTCTTCTCCCTTCCATCATCCTCTCTTTGCCTCCTACCCTTATTCCTAAAGTCCCTATCAACAATGTCCCTGTCCTTTAGCCCAACAATTTTCATTCTTGGCACGTTTACACCCCGATAACACTCGCCCTATTGTCATCAGTCATCACCCTTTCTATCATCTAAACATTTACTGCCCTTCGTCAATAAAAAATTAACAAAGACCACGACCCACCTTTCTTTTTCGTTAATACAATAATTAACTAGACAATTAGCAACTTAGTATCTCTCGCTAATTATCATGAAGAGAATCATTGTGTCTTGAATTTGAACAAATAAAAAGAAACCCATCTTTGCAATTCCATAAGAGTTAAAAGATCAGTAAAAAAAGAGGGTTCATGTAAAATATAAAAAATATCCAGCATAAATAGCACTCCAAAAATTACAATTAGCAGTGAAAAATTATTTTAGCTACCTTACTTACCCTCACATCACTGCTTCCTTTGAGGGGTCGTTCCTGCATCATCTCTTGTCTTTGTCTCTCCCCTTCACGTCCTTATCGTCTCGAGAAGAGATAGCTGTTTCGTTTCTAGCAAAGAGAAATCGTTGAATTTGTAATGGAGGGGAGAGTGGCAGTTGTGTAAAAGTGAAATGGAGGGAAATTGATTTTGTTTTGCTTTTCAATTAAAATAATAGTAAAAGTAAGACATTACACCTTCGAGTTTCCAAGCCTTAGGCCCAGCCTCAAGCAGTTCTGGTGCTCCAACATGGGCTTTCCCTATAAGTTCCCTCTAATTATTGGGCCCAATAAAAAATAATAATAAGAATTAAGAAAAGTTTTTTTCTTTTTTCTTTTCTTTACAGCAACCATGATGAGCCGGTGACACAATGCAATAGTAACATAAATAGATTAGTGACAACTGACAACCATTGAGTGACTGGAGGACTATCCATCAATATATCATTTGTGGCCAAGATTAGAAGAGAAGGCCCCTCTCCTTTCACTCTACAAGGCTGGCTTCTGTAACGCCAAACTATGGCTTCTTCCATCACCCTCCAAAGTACTCTACTTAGTTCCGGCTTTCTAGGTCAAAACAACATCCCCAATCATCCTCATAAACCATACTCATTGATCCCCAAAGAACATAGGTTGAAAATAAAAACATGTGCCAAATTCGACCCTTTTGAGATATTGGGAGGCAGAGGGCTCTGCAATGGAGAAAAAGGTGTGCAACAAGAGCTACAGAGAAACATTGAAGAGGAGGCACCACCAGCTGCTGGTGAAGAGGAGTATTCAGGTAAGTTGGAAATATCAAGTGTGCCGGAAGATGGTTTCGAAAAGGAGCTGATGGGATTAACAGGGGGCTTTCCTGGTGGAGAGAGGGGATTGGAAAAATTCATCGAGGAAAACCCACCTCCAAAGAAACAATCAGTTGCGAAGCTTACAGTCACAAACAAGCCAAAACCACCAGAATTGCCACTGTTGTTGCCTGGTATGATTGCCATTGTGAAGAACCCAAATAACCCATTTTACATGTACACTGGCATTGTTCAGCGAATCACCGATGGAAAAGCCGGAGTTATCTTTGAAGGAGGAAACTGGGATCGGTTAGTAACTTTCCGCCTGGAAGAGCTGGAGCGGAGGGAGAAGGGCCCTCCAGGCAAAAATCCCAGGTCCGCAATAATTGAAGAATTCTATGAAACCGAATCACAATCAACCACCTAGTTGCATTTTCCTGTTGCAAATAATGTTTGTTCATCTGCTTTATGTATGTGCCTGTTCCAGCTTAGAAAGAGCAATAAACTCCATTTAAAAGAAAAATGTCGCACCATGAAGGATCAATCAAGTATGTATGCGCCAAGAAAACTTTAATTACATTGAAAACTGTATTTGTTGTCTTGTCCCGAATCAATACAAAAATAAAATTATCATTTTAAGAAAAATGAATAATTCAAATTGACTCGATGATCCACTGGTTATTTTTCGAATCAAATCTCCAGAACCTATTTAACGTGTCTTTAGCAATAATTGAACACGTGTTTAGAAAACATTGGATATCATAAGATCAGTCACTTCAAAGTGATTCAGCCGACCACAACATTGTTGAAATCCTTTTTACTTCCGCTTCGTCTGTATCTTTCTATATATGTGTTTTCTTCTTCTTTTATCTTCAACCAACATGATTGATATTCAACTTGCTAATCCGGTCCAACACTATATATATATATATATAAAAGGGCTGAAGTAATATTGTACATATCCATTGTAAATTTTATGTGTTACATGGTTATTAAACATAATTCAAGTTATACAATTAAAATTTATATTGGGAGTTTTTAAGTTTAGATCCTAAAAGAATATAGTAAAAATTCAGAAATAGAAAATAATTAATCCTTGCATGCTTTAGGAATGGAAATAAAATCGAATTAGCTTAGTTTTTAAGATTATTATGTTATATACGTGTGTGCTTAAGCGTGTGTAAACTTAATTACATTGAAAACTCAAAAAAAAGTTAACACATCGCACATAGTAAAACAGTCATGCCCACGTGGAATTCTCTTTTCATTTTTTTCGCTTTCAATATGTACATATAAAAATAATATTGTTCTCATTTCACAACTTGTTAATCCATTTTTTATAACATTGGTTCTATCAAGGTAATGAATGACTTGTACAAATTTTCCATTCACGATCAATATCCAACTTTAATGTATTTTTTTTAATCAAACTATAATTTATTACTTTATTTTCTTGTGTCTATTAGATAAGTATGTGATATTTTTATAGCGAGGCCCGTTATTTATAAATTGAGAAAAATCAATATTTTTTTTAAAAAATAATATCATTGTAAAACTGATTTTTACCGAAAGAAATTTAATGCTGAAAAATGTTCCATGTCTAGTTATTTTTAAGTCTTGCATTCATATTTTTTGTGATGGGATTGCAAGGGTATAAGTTACTTAGAGGTTGTTTGGAAATATATTTGGAATTATGTTTTTTAAAAAATATTTTTTATATTTTTTTATCACTTTGATATTAAAATTAATTTTTAAAAATAAAAATATTATTTTATTTTATTTCAAAAAATAATATTTTAAAAAATAACGTTTCGTAAACCATCTTTCAAGCTGGAGTACAAGCAACGGGAGCTCTATGGGCGTGAGGGGTTGGACTCTTTATTAATGGGCTGGGCTTGATATGCTATTAATTGAGGATATAGCTCCTTAAACTGGACTCTGAAGTCTTATACTTGTTCCAAACTCATTCCATGTTTAATTATTAGCCCATTGTATCCTTCTTTGTTTATTAACAAAGCTTCAAACGTTAGGCCGAACGATTCCGAGCCCATCTGGCAGTCCGGGGGCTTCAGGCCCATCACTGTCAAATCTCTGCATCAGCCATGCTTTTACCCTCTTTTTTCCCCATATATAACAACAAAAATGGCAGTCTAGCTTTCATCAAACTAAAAAAAAAGGTCTGATCACGAAATTCAATACGGTTTTTGAGAGTTTGTTAGATTTTAAGTGTTTTTTTTTTTCAGAAATATATTGAAATAATATTTTTTATTTTTAAAAAAATATTTTTGATATCAAAATAATAAAAAAAGTAATCTTAATCAAAAAATATATTTAAAATTTTTGGAAAACGTGTTTCCGAAACGTTACCCAAGTCTTTTTGAAGCTAGGCATCAAATAAAACCACCATCAAACGCGGAACAAGGGCTTGACTACGATATGTTGCTGGCCAGTAGCTCATGCAATGACAAACATCGATTCTAGCCAGTTGTCCGCGGCAATGTCTCCTTCACGGTGAGTTCAATGAAACGGTCACCAGCGGCGTGAAACGCAATGGCAAATCAGGACACGCGAGCTTTCAGTCCACCGCTATAGTCTTCTCTTGTCATCAAAACATTTACTACGCCCAAAAAATTGGTTATCTGTTAACAGTGAAATTGACTTTTCAACGTGGCATTGCTAACATGTTCTGCTATTTTTACTTACTAGCAACTTTTTTTAAAAAAGAAAACTGTTCTTTTAATAATAACAACTTTACTTTTTAAAATATATTGTATAATTTATTGTACATTAATAATAAATCCCAACATAACGAACGTATTGATTGCTGTGCGGTTCTCCAAAGGTGATATGCTCTTTTCTTTCCTGCTGCAACTCACATAAAAATTTGCAAAATGGAGAAGTAGACCATAAAAATTCTTCGGCTCAGGTAACGTTGGCAAACATTCTAGGACAAGTTGCATCGCTGTCTGTATAACAATTCAAAGAAAAAGAAGGGCTTTCTATCAGGATTAAGATGTTGATTGATTTGATTAGCACTTAATTAGCCGGGACGCATTAAGGGACTTTCATTGAGAAAGGGAGCCTTTCCTTTTCTTTTTAATACAGTAAATTTTTTTGATAAAGTAGAAGATTTCTAAAATATATTTGGAAAATTAACACACTTAAAAGCTATTTATGAATTGTTTTGAATTAAAAAATAGACATGTTCAGGAGCGTTTTAAATCTGTCCACGAATAATCTATATTCATCTACAAGTTAAAATAAAAATGATATTGGTCTTTCCCAAATCTTTTTAAATATTACAAACACAACCTTAAGTTGGATAAGATGAAGAAATTATTAGAAATAATTATATATTATAATAATTATAGATAAATATATAGTTAGTTTAATTTTTAATAAAATATTATATTATTTTAAATGTCTGTATATATTTATTATTTATAATTTAATATATTATGTGGTGTTTATGTAAATTGAGTTTTAATGATAGAAAACTAATTATTTATAATTGTGTGAATTGCTCTTTTTTTTTTGCATGGAGTTGATGATAGAATGGACTCCTTCTGAATATATTTATTAGAGGAATTGAAGGTACCATTTTCAAAACACGAGTTGTAAATGACATTTATTATTTATAATAATTGAGTTGTATGTAATATCGGTGATTTTTTTTAATTATACTAGATTTTTAATTATTTTTATGTTTTTATTACTTTATAAATTATTTTTTTTAAATGTGCTAACTTATCAAAACACTGTCGGAGTCTTATTTCCATCTTTGCCTGGAACAATGATAAGTTTAATGCGGTTTGAGAACACATTTGAAATTATATTTTTTTAAATTTGATTTTTTATTATCTTGATATGTGGATTCCAAAAATATTTTTTTTAAAAAATAAAACATTATATATTTTTTAAAACTTTAAAAACTAATATTACTATACTACCAAACATTTTTAACAGAAGGGGCTTTCGAGTTTCAAAAAAAATACTTAATGATTCTACTTGAGTATTCTTTTGTTTTACCGGGGTTGAATAAAAGTAGTGTTTGATTTTGTAGTTAAATTTATTTTTTTAAATACCTTTTATTTAAAAAAAATATTAAATTAATGTTTGTATGTATTTTTAAAAACTTTAATATACTAATATGAAAAAAATTATAAAAATCATCTTAATATATTATAATTAAAAACAATTTTAAGAAAACATTATACACAACGTTAAAAAAAAAAAAAGAAGCACAAAGTCAAACAAGAATATTAGCAAGCAAATATTTAACTTGTGGTTTGGGGCACGGGAAATCTTATTTTATATAAAAAAACATTGAAATTCTGATAATAAAATCAACAATACCATTAAAAAAATCTTGATAAAATGAATTCAACTATTATAGGATATGCGGGGTGTTGGGTCTCCGAGAGTGTGTGTTGAAAACAGGATTTACTTCTATTTTAATGCATAATGTATTATTTTCTTTTATTTTAATGCATAATATATGCAGCAGGCATGGCGAGGGAAGACGAAGAAGA